GGCAAATAGTTTATTAACTGCAAAAAATTAAAAAGAGATACTTATCTGTGAGATGAAAATTTTGTAAACTTTTTTTCGAGATTTTCGAATACCATGATGAATTTAAAAAAAAATCCCAATCGCTTAAAACTTGCATACTCAAAAAAAAAATTTAAAAAAAAATTGTAATGTACTCATTTTATTCAACTTCGGTTTAAAAAAAAGTCAGAGCTCAAATTATTTTACACAACATAATACTACACTTAAATATTGCACAATACTCAGAGCTACCATTGTACTTTTTTTCAATTTTTTTTTCAGATCGCATATTTTTAAAAACAATTTTTTTTTATCAAAAACTTTGAATTTGAAAAATTTTTCAAGAAAACAAATTTTGAAAATATTTCTTTTCATAGAGAATTTTAATGTGTGTATGTTTTATTATTTTTTCAAATTTTTTCCTCTCCCCGTTTTGCGAGATACTTATTTGGAAAACTATTAAATCAATTTGTTCTTGTTTTTGTCCAGTAAAGTGTTTAAAAATGTGTTAATCAAGCTCAAATTTCATATTTATTTATTATTTATGTTTATGCATCAACCCTAAAAATTCGAAACAAATCAAACACATGAAGTGTGAGCCCCGTCCGTGTTGGTATTGTTTTTATTGTACCAATTCAGAAACTATTGTTACTTTTTCCTCTTGCAACTTTGCAATTCTAAAAATCTTCGATAATCTACCGTGAAAATCCTTTGACATATTATACAAACCTCAAACAAAGAAAAGAAACACTGATCCCAAAACTAATTAAGTTATTTTTGAAACAACAAAGAGCCACATCAAGTAATTAAATGCATACACCCACGCAGCCACTTATACCATATTTTCATGTCTCGCCGCCATGCTACACCTTGTTTCTCTAAGATACGACAACAAAAACCAAATGCAATTCACCCACGAATGTGACCACCAGTCGACGAGCTGCTGTCATTCACGCGGATCAAACATATGTACTTACACTCAAATATTCAAATTTATCTCTTCATTGTTGCCTTAATCCACAACTAAACATAATTTAAAAATATTTTAACAATAACAACCATGCATTTTCACAAAAATATTGCGCACTCAACAGTGAAATGCGCGCAACTGCTATGGCTATGCATTGGCCAAAAATAGATGCAAATAAATTCCAAAACTCACAACGAAAATATGAATATTTTAAAAATAAATAGCTTGAAAATCTGCAGCTAATCACACAAGTGTAAAAGCAGAGCACAAAAGTCTTACAGCAACTAAAGTGAGAAGAGGGGGGGGCGACAGAGCGGCGAAAGTGAGAAAAGTGGAGGCCATCAGCGACATTGGCAAATTGGCAGCAGTCATCGACACAGTGCACTTTCATAAACACAATGTTGGCGCATTATTCACCATGCCCACAAACGCACGAATTTAAAGATTTCAAATACAAATGTTCTTTGCGTCAATTCTGTCATACTGAGTGACTTTTACACGTGTATGACGTCAAATGCATTTGCTTTGGAAAGCATTTGCTACTTTTCACTTGAATACACTGAGGGAAACCACATCGTTCGATTTACCTTTTTTCTATGCCTTCTTTAGGCAGGCGTTTACGGTAATGAGGAATACATCTTCACGAATGGTGTCTAATGATTTTAGATGCACCCTGCAGCAAACCAAACTGGTTCAGAACTTGCGCTGAGCTAGCCTCTGATTTTTTATAACTCTTTTTACGCACGCTCTTGAAGACATTCTAATATTTAAATATTTTCGTTTAAGATGCAAGATTACACTTTACTACACTAAAATTTGATGGGCTATAAAACAGAATACTCGAAATAGTTCTATCAAGTTTGCAGCACAGTTAGGAATTTGAATTTAAATGGTTTATGGAGTATGAGACATAGTACTTAAATAAAAACTAAACGAAAAATATTTAATATGAAAAACATTGGAAATTAAAAAAAAATCACTGCATAACTACACATTTCGGGTCAAGGCGAATTTATATTAGGTGGTGTTGTTTAATCAGCTGAGTGTAGCGTTTGATTGTCAAAATTTTATATTTTGCTAGTGAGTGAGTGAAAACGTGAAAGTGTTTGCATTTTCTGTCGCCCTTTTTCATTCGGAGAAGAATAGCTGAAATTTGACAATCACCAGCTAAAACAAAAAAAAAGAAAATAATTGTTGTATTTGTTGAATCGATACCACCTTATATGAATTCGCCTTGTTTCGGGTGCTTAGTGATACATTTACGTATGTACAGTATCGTTCATATCAATAGCACTCACATTTCAAAGTGAGATTGTTTACCACTTTGGTTTATTTTTTTAAATCTGATTAAAAAGTCAAACATTTTGATGAAAAATCGTTAAGTTTAACTTTCGTTTTGTATAAAGTTTTAAAACACGGTTAATATTATTTTATTTTAAGCATGATCATTTAAATAATAAAAATAATTTTAACTCTCAATATATTGTGAATATTTAAAAAATAAATGGTGTACGCAGACCTTTCCTGTCAAGTGTAGCTTAACTAAATTTTATATTTTGCATTAAATTTTATTNTAACTTTCGTTTTGTATAAAGTTTTAAAACACGGTTAATATTATTTTATTATAAGCATGATCATTTAAATAATAAAAATAATTTTACCTCACAATATATTGTGAATATTTAAAAAATAAATGGTGTACGCAGACCTTTCCTGTCAAGTGTAGCTTAACTAAATTTTATATTTTGCATTAAATTTTATTCGTACGTAGATATGTATAAAAATGACATTAATGTTACCAATAACGACTTTTTTGGAAATATTTTAGCAGTTGCCCCATAAACTATGTAGAGAATTACATATTAAATAAACGAAAACAGTTTTTTATTAGTTTTAGGGTCTAAGAAAATCGAAAAAATATAGTATATTACATTTGTGCATCTTTTGTCAGCTTTCACATGACCAGGATGAGTAACATTGATGACAGCGCAACTAGCAACATATGAGTTTCAACCGTCCAACTCAGCATCCCTTTTTTAGTAGTTCAGAGACAGTTCTGAAATTTGTAGGGCGGAACTAGCGTTTTGACAGACTGTCCCTAAATTTTGCTGCAGGGCAGTTATAGAGTATCCACATGCTTACTTATACACTTACACACTTAAAACAGTTGCTCTTCCATAATACACGCAGTCAGCCCCGATAACGAATTAGCTAGCTTTCTTATCTCAGGAATGTTGTGTTTATCTATTTTTTTTGTAATTAAATTTGAATTTTATCGGCTTCACAAAGATAATATGCAGCTAACTCCAGTGGTGGAACGGTATTATGTACTTCCTAGACAACCGAAATGGTTATATGTGTGAAGATATCTACGTAGCTGTAGATAAGGTACTTAAGGCTTTTTTATAAGCTTTTGTGAGCATAGTTCAGACGAACGATAACAAAAGTGTTGCTCTACTTGGAAATAGTGGCAAAATATATCGCAGAAAGTACACCAAAATCACGTGTATGAAAAATTAGAAAGTGGCGTAGACTTTTCAGTAGCTCAGCGACTATTTTTAGAACCCTTCACTACGCTTAAATTACACATATATTTGCTATGAAAATATGCCCACTCTACTAACTCTGGATGTTCAGCTGATTATGTTAAGGTAGGTTGAGCTGTATGATCCAGAGAGAGAGTAGGACTCTATTTAAGATACAAAGGCTGGCATGCGTATGCATAGTTGGTGTCATGATAACCGCAAATCGCATCCTTGGAAGTGCTTCTAGATCTGACCGCTCTTTATAATTATATCCAGACTCTGGCGAAAAGGGCTCGCCTAAGAAGGATTGGTACCAAAAATCGGGGCAAAAGGGTTTCTCATTCGTAGGCAAATCGATATTTTGACGAAGCAGCGCCATGAAATTTCAATACTGAGGTTTGTCACGCCTACGAATTTCAGTTTAGCAAAAAGGTATACGAGACCTATCGTATAAATAAAAAAAAACCGGTACACTGATGGCTCATTGACTGAAGGTTATGCCGGGATAGGTGCAGTTGGATCGAGATTGAGATACTCAAAAACTATGGGAAAAGTTCTGAAACTTGAGCTGTCGAAAAAAGCGTGGACTCTTGGTCTGACCAACCGGGTTTAGGTTCTCTGTATTCTGTGACATATCGGTATTGACGGAAAAGGGGGTTGCCGATAAACTTGCAAAGAAATGAGAAACAACCACTTTAATCTGTGGCCCAAAAAAGGGGGCGCTCTCTGCCCTAGTCAGGCTGAAGGAAGAGGCACAAAGAAATCGCTACTTAGGCAATGTACCAGGTCTAGAGAAATCCAAATCACCATTACGAGAAAACGAATCCGAACATGAATAACTGGGAATACGAAAAAGAAAAAAATGCGAGGTCTTATATGAATACGTAGACTAACCGAAGACGAATATATGAAGAAGAACAGAAGGTATGTATGTATCAAGATCAATTCGAATATGAGGACGAATACCAAGATAAGCCCGAATACAAAGAGGAAGAAGAGTGCGAATAAGGAGACTAATACGAGGATGATCTGCCTATTGCTCGGCCCTCATTGTTGCACTGATTGGCCTTCTCATACGTTTTTCATTTGGTGCATACACTCGTATATGCCAGGTACTCGTTTGCAAGGAACATTGCCGGGTATTCGGTGAGTTTTTGACACTCAGAGCATGGACATACTTTACATTTTTTTTTAGAGAAAGCACAAGATTTCATTTGCCGGTGAGTAGTTTTTCGAGATTGTTCTTTCTAATGAAGTTTAGCTAGAAAAAATGTTTTAGTTTTAATCATTATTTATGTTTTAATTTCAGAGAAGCAGGCTTGTTTTGAAAATTCATACGAAACAGTATTTCCGTTTACCTTGCGATATAGTTCACCTAGCCGGCATTTAAAGTGAAATACAAATCGAAATTTGTTGCTTTTCCTACGTAAAATTGTAATGTACATATGCATATACGTAGCGCGATAAGCAGCCAAACATATACATACATACATAAACTTCTCTGCAATTGTTTGCTTAGTTGCTGTTTATTTTTCGGCGAAAGATGACATCAGTGGCTATTTTTTCGCAAAAATTCTAGATGCGAGAGTGTAGTTTACTAGTTGTTGCACAAATGCACGTACGCTCGTATTCGTATGCACGTATGTATAGTATAATAGGGTGATTCAGAAAAAAAAAATTGTTCTTTTTTCTCGAAACCATGCTTATGGGAAATCGAAAAGTGTGACGTGGTCATTCTTAGTATTAATTTTAAGGGCTCATATTTTCTGAGACCTATTTTGGAGTCTAGACGAAACTTTTGAGCATGGTTCCGAGGAAAGATAAAATAAATTAAATAAATTAGTTTTTCTGAATCACCTTAATGTGTATTTGTATGAAAATGCACAGACGAGTATGAGTAAGTGTTGCCCGCTGAGGTGAATGTGGACCAAAATCAGATTCTCTTATTTGCAATAAAAATTTCAAGTCGTAAAATTGAAGAAAAATAAATGTAAAAACCAACTATAAATTACTAACAAACAAAAGGTAAAAATAGACAAAAAATAAAAACAAGAAAATGTATAAACATTGGCACTTAATTTTGTATTTTTGCATTTTTGCAGTTACTGCCAAGGCTTAGAGGCGTTTAAAAACTGCAATTATTTATGGGTTTTATGATACAAAACAAAAAGCGCACAAAGTCACATAAAAATTGTTTGCTCACTTGGCCGTCTGTCTGTCTGCCTGCCTGCTAGCCAAAGAGCCAGCCAAACAGCCAGCCAGACAGTCAGCATGTTTGCTCGCCTGTCTGAGAATGCATTTTCTGTTGCAATCATACTAACTCACTGCCCCTCTTACGAGCACTAGCCGGTTGTGCCCGCGCTCACTTGCTCTTGGCTCCTTTGCGCTTTTTGCCGTTGCGCTTGAATTAGAGGCAAATCAATTCATTTTAGCGGGAGTCAAACGCCAGATAAATTTTCTTGCTTTCAAGTTTAAGCTTTTTTCTTTGCTTTAGTTTGTTAGTTGAAATTTAAAATGCAAATACAAAAACAAAGTAAAGCAAATAAAAAACACACCACCAGCCTTTGAGTGTATGGTGAAATATTTAAGTTTACTGTGTGCCGCCGGCAAAAAGAACGAGGTATGAAAGAATCCATTAAAATCACTAAGAACTAGCGTCCACAAGGTGGCCGTCTTTATGTCTGCTTGATTTTGCTGCATGTGCGTGTGTGTATGTGGACTGCTGTCTGTCTGTCAACACTTGATTTATGTGCCAAATGGCAGCGGGTGGTGGTCGACGCAATCGTCGTCTATGTTATTGCGCATGCGCCGATACTCTTTTGTTAGTGTGCGTCGTTTTGCTTGGGATAGGAATGAGTAGTGGGGCTAATGAACACGAAAAAAAAAAATTAATTTTTGAAACTCAGCAATTACCAATAGCATAAGCATTACCGCTACCATTACCATTACAATTACCATTACCATTTCAATTATCCTTAACATTACCATAACCAATATCATTACCATTAAAATTACCATTAACATTTCAATTACCATTACCATCACCAATATCATAACCATTACTATAAGTGATACCATTAACAATATAGTTAACATTGCCATTAACGTTACCATTACCCTTTCCATTACCATTGTCATTTCCATTACCATTACCATTCACATTACCATTCCCATTACCATTTCCATTTACATTACCATTTCAATTGCCATTAGCTTTACCATAACCAATATCATTACCATTACAATTTCCAAAATATTAGCGTAACCATTACCATTACCGTTACCACTACTATTTCCATTACCATAGCTATTTCCCCACCTTTGCCGTTACCATTACAGTACCATTACTATTGCCATTGTTATTGCCATTACCATAACAAAAATACAAAACAACAAATATCAAACATCAAATAACTACTCAATACCAAGCATCTAATGCATACTAAATACCAAATGCCAAACACCAAATTTTCTTCTTTGTTTGACTCTATAGCCTTTCGTCGGTTTGGACCGAGACGAAGAAACTTCAACAATTGCCTCTGTCCTTTGCGAGTTTGCGCCCTGAGTACCGAGTCGAGCCGAGACATCGTCCATGTTATTGAGCCACATAAAAAGATGAGGTATTTTTAGAGCGTAACTATTGTTCGTATTGTTCGTCGGGAAAGGACTCTGCTTTTAATTGCACACCGAGCCCAAAGCAGCAACTGTTTGCAAGAGTTTTTCATCACTTTATCTCCAGGCTAACATTGCTGGTGGTGTTTATGCTGGATCCAAGGTAGACAAAGTCCTTCATTACTTCGAAGCTATAATTTCCAACAGTGATGTGGTGTCTCAAAACGCGAAGACTTTTTACGTGTTACCAGAAGGTCCCTTGTTTACCGCTAGACCAACGTCTTTCGTTTCTTTTTTAAACTGGGCAATGCTGTTCTTATGTCCCTGGTTCTTGGGCCGACGATGTCGGTATCATCTGCATTTGCCTGGAGCACCAAACCCCACGTACTGAATACCAACTAAACAACAAAATACTGAGAGGCTTATAAATAGATCCCACCGCGTTTCTATATCGACGCGCGAGAGACTCCGAGTAGCGATATCTGTCCTGACTGATACTGGGGATATAATCTTCTTTCAATTCTCGTAGTCTTGCAGCAGGAGTGAAGACGAGAATATCTGAAGGACAGTTTCCTCTGATTTCATGACATGATTTCTTTTTTATTTTTGTCCATTATGAACTCACATCGGCTTTAGATATAAACCATTCCTTCCTTTCGTCTTTCTTCTCTATATACCCAGTTGAGATGTTGAGAATAACGGTAGGACAGTTTCCTATCCTATCTCTGTGGCCTGATCCACCTCTGTAATCATGTTGTTGATTAGGCAAGGGAACCTTAAAAGTGCGTTGAACTCAGCCTTTAGTTTCCGATGAAAACGTCTTTCCTAAAACCCGTTCTAGAGCTCAAGTCACCAATTTCTTTTCTTGAATTTCCTTCGAATTTTCGAATCAGAGTATGTATGTCTATGACTATCGGCTGTCACTGGGGTTAATGGACTGCTAGCGCCGCTCTGAGCAAAAAATGAGCCCTCCCGGTTGGCTCTGCCTTAACTTTCAAAAGTCTTTTGCCAATATTCGCCATCTTTCCATCGTAAATAGTGTTCTGCCACCAACATAACTTATCCAGGCACTGCCTCTAGTTGATCCCCAGCCATTGACTAATTAGCCGGTGGATGACCGTTGTATACGGATGAGCTAATATTGGACCATTAAAAGGCGTTAGTTCGGGTATTTTTTTTTAACCAATATTCAGGCTGGGGTTTATCTGATTATTGATATAAAACCGTCGTCTCCATAAACCAGTAGCCACTTATCTGTCAGTTACGAGGACTGCTATTATGTCTACCGCGCTCCCTTTTTCTTATTAGGTGCATCAGCCCACAGTTTGACTTCCAGCCATTTTCAAAACTTACCTTGCAAAACGACGAAATACCTCTTAGCACATCTTATTTTTAGATACGCATTGATTTTGATTTCGTCGCTGCTTTCGTGATATCGGCCCACTGTTCCTCAGCTTACTATAATTGATGTTCTGCTGCAGATCATTTGATGAGAATTTTTCAAAATCATTTGTATTCGCATTTTATGCCTGCTTCTTAACATTTATACATGCAACAGAGGCAACTGTGGTGTTGCCGTCTTAACAGGTTGGCTTTCGTTTTCAGTTACAAAGAAAGAAAAAGCGCAAAACGCAAGGCAAAAATTGAAAACAAAAATAAGTAAAACACAAAAAAAGGGTCTATATGCCGCCAAAGAAAAAAAAAATAAGACAACGCATAACAGAGCGCAGCCATCAGCCGCAGATTGCAGTATTCAGTGGTAGGTAGCGGCACTGATTGCACTTGCCCATCACCGGCTCTGCACGCCCATTGATGAAGAAGACCTTTGACTGAATAGCGCGCGGCTGGTCGGAGTTTGTTGGTATCGAATCAGCTGGTATCGACGAAGTTGCTGCTGGCGACTTAACACAGCACTAGCAGACTCTCACTAACCGGCTCCACAATTCATTTCATGCTCGCTCAAAGCATATCNAAATGAATGATGTAACTTTTTTTGGGTACAATCTGCCTCATTTAGGTACATTTATTTTATGATATTAGGTACAATCTGAAATTTCCATTTTTCATCCCTGATATCGATGAAACAAAGGTTGAAATCGTATGCAGATTGTTGGCTTGCTGGCTCTTTTGCTCTTTGTTTCTGGTCGACGGCAGCAATTGGATAGTCACGTAAAAGTATTATAGTGTAGCACATCAGCTACTCAATCGACTGCATGACGTTTAATCATCAAATTGCAGCACGCTTTCCATTAAGCGCGCAGTATTAAGCTATCCATGGAAAAAGCAACGAGGAGGGCATCAAAAAGAAAGAGGCTCACAAGTACAAAAAACGCGAAACCAACGAAACCTTTCTTGCTACCTCCACATGTGCTTTCTGCCAACTGACCACCATTTCTGCTGCCCTTTCGCGGTTTTTTGCTACTCCTCTTTCGNTAATGTTCGGCTCCGCCCGAACTTAGACTTTCTTACTTGTTTTTCTTTTTATTTACTTTATTTTAAGTATTTTTATTGCCTCGCTGCTGCTGTGGCAGCTTCTTTTAAACTCTTTTTAACTCGAATTTCGATAGCCTCCCTTGCGCTTTCCGATTTTCATATCTTCATGCATCGCAATTGCCACCAGTGTTGCATAGCAGCACCGAGTTTTCATGGTGGTCAATTTATGCCAGCTGCAGGCTGTTATCCATTTTGCCCCTTCATTCTTCCTTTTGCAGCCGGTCATGCCGCATTTACCAAATGACCCGTATAACTTTGTCTTCATCCTGTCGATTTTTGTTGCTGCTGTCAGTTTGTTGAGCAACTTCCAATTTCTTCCCGGCCAGAATTGCCAGCTCGTTGCCTCCTCTTTTGTGCTCTCGTGCAGCCAGTCAACTGGGTGGTGTTGGTCATGTTCGTATGGCCCCTGCGGGCAGTTGAAGTAAATTAACTTTTAAATTGCGCCAAAAAGTTCGCAAATGAAAAAAAAAACCTCTGAAAATAAATCAAAAATATAAATGTAAAAACATTGGTTAAGGAAACATAAAAAGGATGTTAACAAAAAATGCCGCATAATAAGAACCTGAAACGTGCATTTATTTAGTAACTGATTCCTTTATTACACGCTGCTTTGTTGAATGCTGCTTTTTGTTCTCGACGTCATTGTTCACTTTTCTCCACCTTTTTTGTGGGGCTTCACCACTGCTGCCGCTTTAATGATAATGATGCCTCCGATATTTATTGGCCTTTGTTTCGTTTAGTTACTTTATTTTCTTTTTAACTCTCTCATACTCGTATGTACAGAACATACTAAATAATAAGTGTGTAGTATTTATGCTGTTCGGAAATTGAAACATTTGCAGCGAATTACCTAATTGAAATGCGATTTTAATTGATGAGCTGTCAGGTGATCGCCGATGTGTGTTCATTTGCGCATTGTTTGCGCTAATGATCTCTCAATGCACAAAAGAAAGTGACACATAACGATCTTTGGGTTGAGCCGACAATGGCTGAAAGCGGAGAAAACACTTAGTTTTGCTTGTGTTAGAAGCGAGGAAAGTCCCTTAATTTTACAGCGACGCAGTAGTTAGAATAGCTCCAAAAAACTATGGCAAATGAATATTTTCATTCAAACTTTATAACTTGTGTCCTTCAGCTAAGTGGTCCATTTTCTACTGCCCTGATTTTAAGCATTCGGCATGTTGTTACTTTCGTAAGCATTGCGCCCATAAGTATGCAGTATAAAACGCACATTTCACTGAATTAGCCAATTCTCAATCGACATATAACACGCTGAAAGCGCAAGTTGATTTTCTAAAACATTGTTATTTCTCACCGGCCTATAAATGCTGGATCATTATCCTCCTATCCGAAAGCCAAAAATTTAGTTGTAGAGAGCCCATGCTAAGAGTCCAGGTTGGTTTAGAGGAGTCAAAATCCTTAAGTACAACGGAGATTTTACGTTCCTACAGCCCGAAGCTGGAAGGATTATAGAATGCGGCCCAGTAGGAAATAGTGTTTAGTGATCACATGTCGTGTTTGACTTGAACTAAAGATCATATAACAGGCACGACAAAATCAGAGGTTAATTTGCTTCTAATTCAGCAACATTCCCATGGCTGGCTCGAAAATACTTAACGCAGGAAAGCCAGACGCTGACGGTAAACTGGATAAAATCAATAAGTAGGGCGTAGAACATGGGCGTAGCCAGGTAGGGGCAGGGGGTGCTCGAGCCCCCCCCCCCTAACTTTCAAATTTTCCTTATATATATTTAAATAGTACCCTGAAATGCCAGCTTAATAGGGTCGAGCCCCCCCCTAAATTTCATTCTGGCTACGCCGATGGCGTAGAATAGGCTAAGTTAGGTTAAAGGTGTTACCCCAAAGCAAAGGGGCACACTTCGGTTAAGAGAATGCCCTTTATGATACCACGAAAAACTTGACGGAGACCATTAGCTTAATATGCGAACTGCCGCGAGCCGATAACGAAATTTCGAATGCAGCTGGTTTTGAGCTCTGAGAGCCGAAACGCACTTTCATCACCAATGGACTAAACAAAGACTTTATTGCATTAGACAATAACGTTGAATGAAAAAATTTAGGACTGTTGAATTAGTAATTGTCCTCATTCCTCAGTTGTGAGATTCCGGCAGTGAAGCATACTAGCTGCTTAGGTCTCTTAACTCTTTCTAACTAGAGTCAAGATTCCTCATTTTTGACCATCCCGTTCTTATTCAGCTTCTATGGAACCATATTGCGGTTCCATTAAACGAATTTCTTACGGCTATTCAATATCCATTATACTAAGTGAGCTGTTAGAAACCCACCCACTTTCTTAATCTATATCTCTGGTCCTTGACGTTTTAATGAATACTACTAGGGGATTCGCATGTACTTTCTCCAAAAATGTTTCTGTTTTCCACGTTCCTGCGTTACTTTTCTGTAAATTTATGCTTTCCTGCGTTGTCTTTGGTGGAAGGAGTACATAAGACCTGACCAGCCGGGAAAAAAATATAAAAATACCACAGGTAGACTATGTATTTTGGATTGCAAAAGAGACTCTGACCTAAGCGGGATCTGGTATATTGGGGAAATAATTGAGGCATAACAATTAATGGGATCCGGAGTATCTTCAGCTTGAAAAATCAATAACCCACTGTTGAAGATTTGTTTTTTGGTTAGAAGGTTTTAGAAGAATATCTGCTTTAATTCTACAACATCCTAGGAAGGAAAAGATTTGAATAGACAGAAGCAGGTAGTGTTTGCTGTTACTTTCGAAGCCATACAGAAGAAATCATGGATCTCTTCTAAACCATCAACCGCGATCTACCAAATTCCAAATTCATTGACTTTTAATTTTAGTATACGTACATATGTATGTTTTCAAGGATCTTATTCTTGGCAATATTTACTGATAAAAGAGATTTTTTTCATAACATTTATTTTTATTGAATTTGTTTTCATTGTTTATAACTAGCATTGGTTATTGAGTGGTTGACTAAACGTTTAGTCATAAACTGACTGCAAATGTGATTACCTTGTCTTTCCACTTATGCTAATAATATGCAATTAATTTTTATGTATTTTCTACTGTTTTTAATGATATAATTTTTTTCCTAATTTATTTTTATTTCAGACTTGTTTTAAGTGTTAAATATTCGTCAGCCCCTTACACACATATTTATTAAAAAAAAAAAACTCGTTGATTGACAGTGAGTCAGATTTTTATGACATATGCAGCTGCCACTTTGGTTAAATGAAATCAGCGCTCAAACAAAGGTATGTACACATACATACATATAATTGTGGGTGGGGTAATAATTATCTATAAGTATTAAAAACATTAGAAACAAACTATAAAGAGACGGTCGATTTTGAAGTCAAAAGAGATAAAAGTAATGAACAAAAGTGTATTGCAAGGCCTTTTCGAAGGTACGTTTAGAGCCCTCTCCCATTGTACTAGAACTTTAAATATTTTGAGCAGGAATAAAAGGCGAAATTTTCTTTGTATTTTGTGATCAGAAACAACCGGCATCTTTTGTTTTAAAACATTAAAATGATATCGGACCTTTTGAGTTTTTCGAGATTTTTTTAATTTTTGATTTTTTGAAAACTGTGGATTGTGTTAATTCTATTTCTACGGTTTTTTCCAAAAGATTTCGAATTTTTTTCTTACCCCTCTTTTTGGTGATTTTCGAAATTTTAAATTTTGTGGAAAATATTTAAGTTTTCTGAGGATTCTTCTAATTTTTTGGAGTTAAAAATTATGCTAATAAAAAATGTTCGCTTAAGTTTTGTTTAGATATTGAGAACATACATCTCGTGACATTCGGTTTGTTTTCGAAAATACCGATCTTTTACATTTAGCAGTTTTGGGTTTTTTTTTTAATTTTCGATTATTGTTTTATATACTCGACTGGTTTCGAAGATTTTGAAAGATTTATTGGAGCTGTCGAAGTGTTTTGAGAAATAAAATAAGCGTGAATTTTAGAATTTCATTTACTAAGCACTGCTAAAATACGAAATTATTTTTTATTTTGTTTAATTTTTACGAGAATTTCGAATTTTTACGGATTTTTTTAAGAAAATTTTCTTTTTGTTTTTTTTATATTTTTTTAAATTTCTCAAACTTTTTCGGGATGTTTCGGGGCTTTTCAAAACCTTAATAGATTGTTTAGCCTTATTTATTTTTCGATAAAATCAGAAAGTTTCTGAATAAATATTTTTTTTTAATTTGTAGTTATTTTTTAGAAGATTTTTATAATTTATTTTATTTTTTGACTCTTTGGCACAGTAATTACGCTTTCATGCCTGCTTTTAGTTTTTAAAACAAAAAGCTAAAGTATTTCTGAAAATATCGACATTTTAAAATATTACGGGTCTTTTTCGGTTATTAGGAACTTTTTGGAATTATTCTTCTCTTTCGTTGTTGTTCTTGTATCTTGTGGTAATGTTTGATAATTTTTTTTTCTAGGTCAAACTTATTGAAATTAGCGTCATTCTCATTTTAGCTGGAAATAATCGAATTTCTTTAATAGAATATGTTTACAACAAAATTCAAATAAAACTAAAAAGTCTCAACACAAAAAAAATTCAAATAAAAATATTTTAGAATTTACAGCTCTCTTAGTTTATACAACCTAACCTAACAAAACACACAAAAAATTCAGGAAAAATGTCAGTACAAAGGCGAATTCAATGTTTAATTAGAAAATGTTGTGTAAAAACATCGCATAATATGGCAAACGACTTAATTAAATTCGCGTAAATTTCAATTACAAAAGCAAAAATAAGTACAACAGAAACTAAATTACAAAATTGCCGGCAATGTTTGTGTGTCGGTTTTTTTTTGTTTCGTTTCAACTAAAACTGTATAAGGTCGTTTTTGTTTGTTGTCTAGGCATGTATATTTATACATGCACACATTTATTTATAGGTATTCCTCCATACAGTTGTACTCACATATACATAAGTATATACATTAGGGTGTGCATCATCCGCCATACAAAAAAAACTCGTTAGTTTTCCCACTTGAATTGTAGAATTTATTATATTTTATGACTTCCGCCAAAATACTTCGGTAAAATTTTAAGACTTACGTGAGCGGGATCGATTTGGAAATATCTCCAAAAATCAATTTTTTTTATAAATAAAATAAGTTTTTAAAAATATTTTTTCCCAAATAATAACCTCATATAATAGAAGAATTTAAGATAAAAAGGTCTGCTTAAAAATGTTTGAAAATTTTATCAAATCGGTCAACATAAAATATTTCCCAAATATTTTGGCCGAAGTCTCTATATATAGTAAATTGTATAATTCCAGTGAAAAAAACCACCACTTTTTTGGTGATGCACCCTAACATACATATGTATGAGTGAATATGTCTGCACCCATTTAGGGAAACGCGTCAGCTAATTGACAAGCCGGAACGAGTACGAGTATTTTTCAATCAGTTATCGCCCCCAAGCTGCACTACGGCTGCCCGCTCACTGTACAGCAGAAATTTCTATCGCACAGCATATGAAAGCGTGCTATGAGTTGCGCCGCGTCTGTCGATCGCCGCCGACAAGTGTCGATTTTGCAGCTATTTTTAAATTGTAGCATGAAAATATAAGGAAAAAAACCTACACCACATAGAGGCATTGTGTCTAGAAATGGGAAGGGGCGCTATGTAGCGGTGCAAATTTTGCTTACTGTCTGCTCATATATTTACATACATATGCATGTAGGTACTTTGGCGGCAAGGCGGCTGCTGTTGTACATATATTGATGACTTACATATGTGCATAGAGAAATTTACGCTCGCTAGTTGGTTTTTGCAGCAAGATATTTACTAAAAATTCCATTCACTTGTTTTAAGTTTTTTTGGGAATTTTCATCAGCAATTTAGAGAATTGGAGCTAAAATTAAAGCTTAGCAAAGAGATTTGTATAAACGCATTGTATGCCGCTTGCATAAGATACATACATATATATACACATATGTATGCATGTGCTTCATATGGTCAAATCTCACGAGTTTTTACATTTTTCTACAGAAACGTGTTTTTGGTCGAAAATGGTATTAGCTCTTTCTTTGAGAACGCATTATCTTCAGTTGTGTATAAAGAAAACTTGAAAAAGATATATGTACTAAATAAAGTAGAAATAACCACTCTTACTCATATACCCGTAGTTGCGTATGTCACGTATACGCACCGTAGCACCATACGCAGTCATCTAACGCGTTTAGTCGCGCGCCTAAACTTAAATGCCATATTATTTAAAAGTGATTAAATATTAGCGCGATAGATTTTTACACAATATTCCTTATGCACACGCATATATATATACATATTACTTTCTTCATGTATATAATAATTTTAGACTGAATTTCGAGTGTGCCAATAAAAATTGGAAAAAATGGAATATTAGTTAATCAAATCACAGTCATCTTTTACGCAATTAGGGGATTCATGAGACGTCTTAGCTCGTAAAATCATAAGCTGAAAATTTTTTTAAGTAAAATAATGATTAATATAGTTTAAGGGGATTTCTAACTACACCGAAATGTTTTTAAACTGATACAAAATATATAATTAGCTCCGCTAAAGCCATTTTAACCTTTTATTTTACATAAAAAATGTAAAGCTCAAGATTTTACTACCGTTAAGGCGCCGAAAAATTCAACGGCAAGGCCGGAAAAACTAAAAGGTGTCCTAAAGGGAAAGGCACGGAAAAATTAATTCTAGCTTTAATTATTCAACCTGATTGTATGTTCGTTCACCAGAGTGTTCTTGAAATAGTTACCCTCCATGGGTTTGGTTTCCTAGGATTTTTATCCGTGTATTTCCCAATCATAAAAAAAGAGCATCAAGGAATTATTTGTTTTACTTTTATCTCGCATTTGTGTTTTTTATGAGTTAAGTAAACTTAATGCGGGAATGTGTATGGCTTTTAGAAGAGTATATCCAAAAACAATTTCGTATTTAATTTAATACCTCTTCCTCAGCCAATGCACAAAACCGTAACTAAAAAACTATTTAATTCTTTTTTTTTTAATAAATGAATAAGAAAATTTTTGATTTTTTATTAGTTACGGCCTTTTGCAGTATTTATGAACAACCTTAAAATTTTGATTTTTTTTTGCTTTATTATGACAACAATCTTTTATATTGCTAACGTATTCTCAAGAAAACGTATTTTACTATTATGTGCCCACATCGCTAGCTAGCAAAGAGCGCACATCAATGCTCAAACATGCTCATAAATATGTGAGTACATATGTATGTACATATGTAGTCCATTACACATTACATATTTAATGAGACTCGGTTTTTTATTCAAATGCGACACTTTAAATTAACATAATTATTTTATGACCGCATTTTATTTCGATGGACGCTAATACATAAAAATCTATGCTGTTACGTGTACATATGTACATACAAGCAAAACAAGTATGTAGTAAACATGAAAACGTAAGAGCATAATAGAAGTAAAATTTAAAAGGGATTTAAGCGCATAAATTTGAGGTTTTTATATTCTAGGCGCATTTAGTTTATATGTATACACATATGGTTGCGCAAGTACATACATACGCATATGCCGTAAGTGTCGTCAATCAAGTCATTGTATTAGAAATTTCATTGCGAGGGCGTAAAGTTTTTTTATTATGCCATGTCAAGCAGGTTCTGTCACAAATTGATGTCTGAATTAAAAGCTCATAAACTGCCAAGAAGAGCACTTGTGTGTAAAAGGCACGTTTTTTGAGGGTCAAAACAACATACATACTATATACGTGTGTATTTGTATAACAGCGTTATGTAAATTTATTGGTATGTATGTAGTTGGTAAGTATGTTGTAACATAGGTACTTAAAATGGTATTTTATAGTTTAGCTTCTATAAATTGTCATAAATATGTCAGTGAGTGAAAAAAGTAAGTGTCGATTTAAGCTGTGACATTTTTAACTATAAAAAGCGTGTGCTTAGAAATTTAGTGTTATTTTATGCTAAAAATATTTTTGACTAAAAAATATTTACAACCGAAGGTACTTAGTTGGTAACGCTGGCGGATGATTTCGAGTGCATGTGGGGAGAGTTTTTGTTAGCCAATCGGCTCAAACAGCTCAACTCTTCCGGTGTTTACATTAACAGGGAATTTCGGAAAACTATCTTGAAAGCTCCCTTCTATGTTTCGGAAGACTAATGGTGTTGTCGTTTCCACCAAAAAAATGTCGCCTTTTGATTGCCCCTTTCTCTGAGACAATTTTGTGTTCCTTTCTCAAAATTACACACTCTTGTACGGCAAAAAAGGCACATTCTCTACCCTTTGTAGCTTTGTTGGGGGAGCTGGTTGCCCTGAAAATAAGGTGCTTAAAAGGACAATACCTATTATGAAATGCGTGAGGACAAGAAGGCAAAAACATGCCCTATTTCAGAATTGACAACAATAACTTTTTTTGGAATAAATGAAATCAGCATAATTGCGTTTGTCCTTTAGTCATAAGTCTTTAAAAAGATTAAGTTAAATTAAAAATATGTACATTTCTTTTTTAAAACAATAAAACCTTAAAATACAATAAAAAAAATTTTATTAAAAGGAAAGAGAAAAAAACCAACTTATAAAAGCAAGAACAGATAAAGAAAAATTCTTTTTAAATGATAAAACCTCTAAAGATAAAATAAAATTAAAATAAAACAAGCATTATTTTTAAAACAGTAAAATATTTAAATAAAATGAGAATCAAATTAAAAAGAAAAAAAACAAACAAAATATTAAAAAAGTTCCTAAAAATATCATAAATAAAACTAAAAAATTATTTTCCTTTTTAAAACAAAATTTTAAAATAAAAAAGAAATTAAATTTAAAAAATTTTGTTGAACAAAAAAATAAATAAAGTTGCAAAAAAATCAATAGAAATAAAAAAAGTATTTTTCTTTTATAAACAAAATCTTAAAAAAAGAAGTAATTAAAAACTGTCAGTCAAAATAAAAGAAAACAAGTAAGAAAGCTTAAGTTCGGGCAGAGCCGAACATTAAATACCCGGCGCACGTATTAAATATATGTTTTTCGCCNCTGATCATTTATGTATACATTTGTCTATATCTATCTCGATTCGTTTTGGCTGTTACAAACAACCGTTATGTGAACAAAATTAATATACCCTTGTGCACAAGTGCGCTCGGGTATAAAAATAAAATACGTTTCTTAAAATTTTATAAAAACATATTACCTATAAAACCTAAAAATTAAAAGAAAATCATATTAAGAAAAGAAAGAAAAATTAAAAACAAAATATTTTCATAAAAAGTAAATGAAATTAAAAACAAAAATTTTTTCGGTTTTAATCAATAAAATCTAAAAAGTATAAAAAAAAACAAATAAGTTTTTAAAGATCAAATGAAATTAAAAAAATATATATTTTACAAGCTTTGGTTTAACTTGCTCTATATGTATGTATGTATGTAAGTTCGTTTGTTAGGAGCAATCTTGGAATCAATTTTTGACCAAATTCCCGATGAACTAGAGACTTGAAACTTCACAGTTGGCTTCGAGCCCTATGACAATGCAATACGAAAGACATTTAGGGGATTCCCTTAAACGCGAAGAGCAGAAAACTCGAAAACCTCGAAAGTTTTCGAGGCTGTTTTTGGGAATGCACCTTTTTTCAGCCTCGTAAACAATGGAGAAACTCCGAAGTTTGACAGCTCATTCAGAGTTTTTTGTATAATACATCGCATCAGCTGAAATAAATATATATAAAATCAGCATTGAAAATGCCACGAAAAAGTGAAAAATGTAAATTGTATGAATTTATTGATCAAAACGCAGTCAACAATTATAAAGGCAACACTGAAACTTACGAACGACTTTTCGAGGCTTTTTTCGCGACTAATTTGCCTCGAAAGTTTTCAAGGCACGCGAAAATCGCCACTCATACAATTTTTGACAGTTGTTTTTCGAGGCTGGAAAAGTTTCGAGGTTTCGTGGTTTTCGAGCCACTTTCGAGCTTAAGGGAATCCCCTAAATTAAATTCGATAGGTGGCGCACGAATCCAGATATTTGAAAAACCCGTATTTATAGTCTGATATGAACCAAATTAAAACGTCTATTAACAACATGAAAAGGAATAATTCCACTAAAAGTTTTGCCGATGTCTGATTTCATTCATACTTAGGGTCAAAACATAGTGGAGCGGTGAGCA